TCTGAAAATGGGGGAAAAAATAGCACCATTTGTGAAGATGGATTAATGCTAATAAATCTCCTGAAACCCTCATGTTTACATTGATTGTATAAATATAAAATTATGACTAATAAGAAACTCAAATGTACTCTGAAAGAACAACTTGAGACTTTCAGTTCTTTATTGCAAATGTTCGCTCATATTATTTGTCTTGTGTTATTTGCTCTGACTGGCTTTAGTCTTTGAAATTATCCATTTTATCCAGAACACTTTTTGCCAGAATTCTCTTTAAAATTCAGATGTGCTATAATTGTCATCCTTTATTTAAATAGTTTACTTTTTCCATTAACAAAGGAAATATGGACCGAACTGGAAATCAAGTTAGCTGATGATGAGTGATGAGGCAGTGGGGAAGGGCAGGAAGAATAGCAAGTGCTATAAAGAAGAAGAAAGCCTTCCTTGTCATTGAAATGAAATGATTCTGGCCACTTCATTTTTAATCCTCACAGATACATTCTCAGATAAGTATCATTTTCTAGTTTTAAAAATAAAGGGACTTGGGATGAAGATTAGGTAACTTGCCCCAGAGCTATGACATGTGAATCCAGGTCCAGCCAACTCCAAGGCCTATGAGATGACTAAACACAGAGGCTTTATTTTTCTGTAGACCTGTGGAGATGAGCTAGGCCCCTCTCCAGTAAAATCTGTGAAGTGGACAGAACTTTGATTTAGTGTCTCAAGGCTTTTTAATGTTTCAATTCCTATACCATGCCATAAATGCAAGCATGTCCATCCTAATAGTGACTCCAAGAACCTGCAGTCCAATCCTATTTCTTTCTGCCTATCCTCCACTATTCATTCATCTAATGTTCATTCATTCATGTGTGCATTCATTCACCAAATACTGAGTATTTGCTATGTGCCAGGGCACTGAGGCTACAAATGGACTAAAGGAACCCCATCCTTGCCTTCATGGAATTACCTCCTAATAGGACTTGAGAACAACTTTATGGAGGTACTCTAATTACACAATAAATATTTAAATTATAGTCACCCTGTTTCCCCTGATCTCCATCATCAACCCAGTCAGTGTCATCCCTCAGTCAAATGAAAACTAAAAACTCAAGTCAAATATAAATCTCTAAATTTTATCCTGCCACATTTTCTTAAGAGTCTAGATACCAACCGAAAGTGCTAAGGGTAAGGGACCAGGAGAAGGGGAAGGAGATGTGGAGATGAGGAAGAGCCTCTAGAGAAGGACAAGAAAGGCAGTAATAACCAAAGAAGCAAGAAAGAGAGAGAAAATGCATGGATAATTGGTCAGGGATGAAAGAAAAAGGCAGAAATAGAGCTAGGCTAGAGAAGTGGAGCAGCAGCAGCCTGACTGGCAAAACGAGCCGTGTAACATTTGTCTCTCTGCAAGGCTCTGAGCCCTTTGAGAGAGGAACTGGGCCTCTTAACTATTTCACTGTGCTTCATGGCCATGTCACCCAGGATTCTGTCTTACACACAGTATGCATTCCATAATATTTGCTGACTGAAAAATGAAAGGAAGAAATCTATTATGTTGCCATAATCTGACTTACAATTTTTAAATACTACTTAGTGAGAGGGCTTCCCAAGAGGCACAGTGAAGAATCTGCCTGCCAATGCAGGAGACACAAAAGACTTGAGTTTGATCCCTGTGTCAGGAAGATCCTTTGGAGGAAAGCATTCCAGCTCACTCCAGTATTCTTGCCTGGGGTATCCCATGGACAGAGGAGCTTGGCAGGCTACAGTCCATGGGATCACAGAGTCGGACATGACTGAGCAACTAACTACACACACACACACACACACACACACACGTAGTGATAAGTGATGGGCAAGTTGTTAAGTGCATATAGCTTCATGCCTTCTGACTCCCACAAGCAGCAAAGGCTTAAGGAATCTGTTTGTGACTTTCAACTCTTTGGCCTGGTTTTATGATAATGACAAAGTCCCTGAATTAGCCAGTGCTAAGATTTTTAGCCACGGACTCAGCAGAGGAACATGAGTATCTATAATGTGTAAATTTCATAAAAACCATGATCAATACAGGAATCTCTTGACTCTCTACCCTGACTTCTCAGATCTCCATATGTCCAGCTGGATACAGTGCTTTTAAATCAGGCTGACCCACTCAAAGGGGCTTCCCAGCTTTCTCAATGGTAAAGAATCTACCTGCCAATGCAGGAAACATGGGCTGGATACCTGGTCCAGGAAAATCCCCTGGATAAGGAAATGGCAACCCACTCCAGTATTCTTGCCTGTAAAATCCCGTGGACAGAAGAACCTGATGGGCTACAGTCCATGGGGTCGCAACAAGTCAGATGCAACTGAGCACGCGTGCATGACCCACTCAAAGGCACCCTAACCTTGTTGGGAGAGATCCCTTTGCTACTCTGATCTTTCCAGCTGCCTCTGCTCCCTGTATCAATCCAGTGCACGCCGATCCATGATCTCTTGTCTCAAGCCCATGCTCGGGCATTGCACCAGACAGGATTCAGCAGTCATCCTTGGGCTGTAGTACTTGTTGTAGGTCTGGACTTGAACTTGCCCTTCTGTTCTTCCTTCTCTTGATTGCTGTGGATAACTCAGTAACATAGAACCCAGTGTCTGCTCCTGAAATTTCAGTGTCTATTCCTGCATTTCAGCCATTGCGACCTTATATCTAACTCAGACCTACTCTAACTCCTCAGGAAGAGAAATTAAACCCTCACATGCATAGGCCTCTGTATAGTTCTGCCTATGTGGATGAACAGCTTGAATCTTGACTCTGGGTTTGGACTCCACTGTTGAATTCCCTTACCATGGAGTAAGCTCATATCTGCCTTTGTGCTCAAATGCCCACTTTTCCTCTTTATCCTTTTATCTCCTCAGGTTTGACTTAACTGTTCGGGTCAGCTTCACAAGTGGCCAGCTTTTCTCAGTCAGAATTTTTTACCACAGTGCAGTTCTTCTGTTTCTTAAACCTTCTGCCTCACATGCTGTGAAAATATCTGGAAAACCAATTGACTCTCAAGTTGAGTAGAGTCATCCAGTAGGATTTCTTGTACCTAAGAAATTCTAATCTATCTGGCAGAATTTAAGATAACTTCAGATCACTCAGAACAGCATCTTTAGAAAAACCTCTTAGATCTTGAGGATTGAACCCAATCCTCCTAGGAAAAATCTAGCAAAATTACAGAGTAGTTTCTACAAATTTAGAAGAATACAAATACGAGACTTTAGCCTTAGAAAAGTACTTGATAACTGTAGGAAATACAAGAAGCTCTGTGCTAACTCTTCTCTCAGATGGTATCTTGTGATCCTTGGATTAAAAAAAAAGGCATAAGAGAAATACCAGAAATTATCTCTTTCATGACTCTCAATATCAGTGAGTTGAATGTTGGTGTAAATATCTCTAACATCACTGTTATCCCATCTCTGTCTCTGGGGGTGCAGGAAATGGAAAAGAATGGACTCAATTCAACTGCTATTTATTTCAGTGATGTTGGTACAAATTTATTAAGGTGCAAAAATTTCTTCTAGTCCTAACTGGCATCAGAATTAAGATATCAAAATACTTACCTAAAGACTTTATCAACTAAGAAATATTNAGCTGTGGTACATATATACAATGGAATATTACTCAGCCATTAAAAAGAATGCATTTGAATCAGTTCTAATGAGGTGGATGAAACTGGAGCCTATTATACAGACTGAAGTAAGTCAGAAAGAAAAAACACCAACACAGTATATTAATGCATATATATGGAAAGATGGTAACAATGACCCTATATGTGAGATAGCAAAAGAGACACAGATGTAAAGAACAGTCTTTTGGACTCTGTGGGAGAAGGCAAGGGTGGGGTGATTTGAGAGAATAGCATTGAAACATGTGTATTATCATATGTGAAACAGATTGCCAGCCCAGGTTCAATGCATGAAACAGGATGCTCTGGGCTGGTGTGCTGGGATGACCCTGAGGGATGGGATGGGGAGGGAGGTGGAAGAGGGGGTTCAGGATGAGGAACACATGTACACCCATGGCTGATTCATGTCAATGTATGGCCAAAACCACTACAATATTGTAAAGTAATTAGCCTCCAATTAAAATAAATTAATTTAAGAAAATAAAACAAAGGCAATGGAACTTACAAAAAAGTAGAGAAATATTTGCTTAAAAAAGAAAAAAAGATGCAAATTTATCCCAAAGAAACTATTGTTTTGAATTGTAGGGTATCATCATGCCTGTGGAAAAGTTTCTTCAATATATATATACATTTCTTTATTGCCTCAGGGGAATGTTACGTCTCCTTTTCCATTGAATACATACATATTTAGTTGTGTTTATATAAGAACAGAAGAACTTTTGAGCAGAAAAAAATGAGGGACTCGAGGACAAGTGTGACTTTCTGACCTAAGATTTACAGTCTCCCCTTGATGTGGAGACAGTTATGCATGTAAATCTTTGAGCACTAAGAAGTGAATCTATTCCCTATGCTCTGTGCTATGTGGGGGGAAAAGAGAGCTCAGCAAGAACAGATGTGGCCATTCGCTCACTTACCCAATGAAAACAAGTAATTGCCATGGCAACTGGAGAATATTGTGGGGGGCACAAACTGACCTCTAAGACTCAGCATGCTTTATGCCGTAGGAATCACATATGTATACTTGCTTGCGGTGTAGATTTCCTTCCTATGTACGCTACTACAGTATTAAAATACTAAATTTTTTTCCTGCCTCTAATACCCTCTAGTTTTATTTTGATCCCAAACTGAACAAACTGGAAAGAACATATAGTCCTTGATGTCAGAACTACAAAATGTGCTATTAAAAGATGTAAATAAATGGTGAACTACCACAAAAAGATGAAAGGATGCCTACTTACAAACAACTCAGGAAATAGAAAGCTCAGGTTACGTTTGAGAGCGTTTCAGCTACCCTTTAAAATAGCTGCACACTGATCCAAAGGTGTATTCTTAGTTGTATTTGTTTAATCCCTTTGCCAACCACAGGTTCTTTCTGCTTGAAAAGCAACAACGAAACTGAAGGGTTTACCTGATTGCTGGAGCAAATGAAAATGATTGGTATTGATGCACTAAAGGTCAAAGTAAGTAGTTAGGCATCTGCAATGTTTACTGCTTTTCCTGTTATAGGAACTTGGAAACACACAACAAACATAATTACACTGTAATTACTCTATGGTCAACAGTCTCTATATTGTGAACAATGTTTAAAACTTAACTTTGGCACATGGAAACCTGGGATTAGTTCAGCCTTACTAGAGAATTTCTCTAAATGTGAAAACAATTTTCTAGGAGCTGGAATTGGTAAAACTTCTGCAAGTTAGATTAATTTCCAGTCCCTGCCACCTGCTGAGTGGAGTCACCAGGAAGAGCAATGTATGTGGTGCGTGTGCCCCCTCACTTGTTTAAAAGAACCTAACTGAATCATGTTCTTACCTTCCCCTATTACAAAGAAAGTTGGTGTTATCTTGAAATATGAGAAATGACTGTCAAATGTTACTCATTTATGGAAGGAAAGGAAACATGCTAGTTAAGAATACCAATTACTTTAATTCTGAATCGTGAAATATATCTGTTTGCTCTTGGAGTTGCTTTGTGGTTCAGGGAAACTACCCCAAACTAGTAATAAATAGGCATTGATTTTGGCTGAATGTCCCCATAGATACTGGGTTTTTGGCCATTACATTTTCTTGATTTTAGTTCCAGCTTGTGTAAAGCAAGAAAAAGTTGATCTCTAAGACTGCTTTCAATGCCAAAATGTACAACTTTGGGAATCTAATCCTGAATCAGTACCATATAGTTCCATATATATTTTAAGAATTCAAAGCTCATTGATGTCATTGATCAAGGAAACATAATAATTATAATATATTCCCAAGGAGGTCAGTTTTCCAAATATGTTTTTCTTAAAAGTTAAATATTACTTCTCAGCTTGAATATTTAATTAGAGCTGTAAGTCAAGGAGAACTGGAACACAAATTATTGATATACTTCTTGGTCAATCAGAGGAGACATTATAATTAACATTTTTAATAATTAAGACATTTTATATATATAATCAAAATTAAAAGATAAACAAATAAAAGATATTTGCAACATAGTAAATATATTATTTAAATCTAAAATATATAAGGCTCTCATGCAGATAAATAAGAGAACAAAAGATGCTATAAAAATATGTATAGGAAAGTCACAAAAGAGAAAGTCTGAGTATCAGAAACAGTGCAATTAATGTTATAAGAAAATCTCTCACTCATTATGCTAATGTTTTACATCTACTATGATTATACATTCACTAATAAATGAGGAAACTGAAACTTCATTCATAGATTGTGGAAGTGTGCATTGGTGTAATCACTTTGTTCAACACTTTGAGGGAATCTAGTCATGTTGAAAATATCCATACCCTATAACCCAACAACTGTCATGATGTCTACCCTCTAACAAGGTCATAAACAGACAGATATGAAATTGTTCACTGAAAACCTTTTTATAACAGCAAAAAGATGCTGTCAGTATGGAAACAGGTTTTAAAATATAGAAGATTAGCAGAATGGAAGAGTGTACACTAATAAACTGAATAAAATAGGTCTATTTTTTGGCACAATAAATTTTTTAAAAGCCAGTAGCAGAGTGATTGAATAATATGCCATTTATATACAATTTTTGAAAGAGCTACAAATTGTATTATATTCATTGATGCACATATATATGCTAAAATATAAAATAAGAACTGATGGAATAAATATCAGATTCATAATAATTAAGAGTGAAATGGGAATGATGGACAATGGACATTTTTTCTGTTTTTTGGAAATGGAAATGTTAAATATACTTATAATTTTGCTTTTATTAATACTTATGAAGCAAATAATAAAATGCTAGTGTTTATTACTTTCAGCATGTAATTGTCTATAATACTTGTACTTTTCTGTTTTTAATTTTTTCAAAAATAATTTTGGAAATATGTGGTATTTAAGTACATCTAAATACTTGGTACTTCAAAGTAAGTAAGGATATTTAGGAACTGAAGAATATATTTAATTGGATCAGTCATGAAATCTGTACTAAATTCTCATGTATTTTTTGATCATATTATTTTTTGCTCTTGCAAGTGACAACAAAAACTAAAATGAACACACTGCCTCTTTACTTAACATAGGACAGAATGAATTTATTCAACAAAATTAATGCAAATTAAGCATTAGCTTAATATATAAAATCTAAAGAATGCTAACAAAGTGTCTGGAATTCCCAACTCCTCTGAGATGGGAGAGAGCTGCAGAATAATCTCCCACATATTTGCACATTAAAAGAGCACCTACAAACTGAAGGACCAAAGAATTCATGTTCTGATAAGTGAGTGTTTCATATTTTTATAGCATTTCAAACTTAAAGAACTGATAGATGTGTGACATTTACATTGCCTAAAATGTAGAGAGAAATATTGTGATTATATGTAGGGTATTCTGGTATTAAATCAGAAAATTTTAAAGTTTTAATTTGTACATTAAAACAGTAGAAATTACAGCATTTCTTGAATGTTATATCCTTCAAAATAATCTGAATAATCTGTTTTTTAAAGAAACAAGTAAACAATTACCAGTACTTTGTAAAGAATGATAAACAAAATGACACGAGGTGGGTAGAAGCTCATTTGAGGATAGCTTTAAACTTTTCTGGCTTTAAAAACTTACCTTTAAAAAGTTATAAACCATCAAGTAAGCAAAGGGGAAAAATCCAGCAGATCTTTTTGTCAATAGGGCAAGATTTTTACTTTCTTGATTATCTGAAACCAGAACCAATAATCTTATTTCTAATGTCAGTAAGTGTTTCTTTGAATAGCAGTAGTCCATTTACAAAAAATGTACTTATCTGTGAAGGAGCTTGATTTCAAATATGAATCTTAAAAGAGTAAATATAAGGTTTCTGTAATTGGAGCCAGTCTGTGTTCCTGACAAAGGAACCAGGATAAAACTAGGAGAATGAAATGTAGTAGGGTCAGAACAAGAGAGAAGGTGGGAAATAAAAATTAACTTGGGATAAAATAGAGAAAAGTGGCTTGGGAAATAATTCAAGCAGGAAACAAAGAACATATCTGGGAAAAGAGAAAGGAGGAAAGGCCTAGGGAACCTGGACTTTGTTGACTCTGAGTTATTGTGGAGACTGGCTTGTCTTACATGGATGAAGCTAGTATTCAGGAAAAGTTCCCATCTTCAGCTAACCACACATGCAACAGAGTACTATTTTCGTCTAAATCAAGTTCCAAATGGGGCTTCCGCGGTCGCTCAGCTGTAAAAAATCCAGCTGCAATGCAGGAGACCCTAGTTTGATTCCTGGATTGGGAAGAGCCACTGGAGAAGGGATAGGCTACCCACTCCAGTATTCTGGCCTCGAGAATTCCATGAACTACAGTCCCTGGGGTTGCAAAGAGTCAGACGCGACTGAGCAACTTTCAGTTTCCAAATGTTTGGGAACTAGTGTGTTAAACTACAATACTCTGAAGAAAAGGAAAAAGAGGAGGTCGTTGTTCATTATGGGACTTCAGTTCAGTTCAGTCTCTCAATCGTGTCCAACTATTTGCGACCCCATGGACTGCAGCATGGCAGGCTTCCCTGTCCATCACCAGCTCCCGAAGTATACTGAAGCTCATGTCCATTGAGTTGGTGATGCTATTCAACCATCTCATCCTCTGTCATCCCCTTCTCCTCCTGCCTTCAATCTTTCCCAGCATCAGGGTCTTCTAATGAGTCAGTACTTTGCATCAGGTGGCCAAAGTATTGGAGTTTCAGCTTCAGCATCAGTCCTTCCAATGAACACCCGGGACTTATCTCCTTCAGGATGGACTGGTTGGATCTCCTTGCAGTCCAAGGGATTCTCAAGAGTCTTCTCCAACACCACAGTTCAAAAGCATCAATTCTTCAGTACTCAGCTTTCTTTATAGTCCAAACTCACACCCATAACTGACTACTGGAAAAACCATAGCTTTGACTAGACATAGATTTGTTGGCAAAGTAATACCTCTGCTCTCTAATATGCTGTCTAGGTTGGTCATAACTTTCCCTCCAAGGAGCAAGCGTCTTTTAATTTCATGGCCTCAGTCACCATCTGCAGTATTTTGGAGCCCTCAAAAATAGTCTTTCACTATTTCCACAGTTTCGCTATCTATTTGCCATGAAGTGATGGGACCAGATGCCGTGATCTTAGTTTTCTGAATGATGAGTTTTAAGCCAACTTTTTCACTCTCCTCTTTCACTTTCAAGAGGCTCTTTAGTTCCTCTTCACTTTCTGCCATAAGGGTGGTGTCATCTGCATATCTGAGGTTATTGATATTTCTCCCAGCAATCTTGATTCTAGCTTCTGCTGCCTCCAGCCCAGTGTTTCTCATGATGTACTCTGCATATAAGTTAAATAAGCAGGGTGACACCATACAGCGTTGACATACTCCTTCACGATTTGGAAACTGTGTTCCATGTCCTGTTCTAACTGTTGCTTCCTGACCTGCATACAGATTTCTCAAGAGGCAGGTCAGGTGGTCAGGTATTCCTATCCCTTTAAGAATTTTCCAGAGTTTGTTGTGGTCCACACAAAGGCTTTGGCGTGGTCAATAAAGAAGAAGTAGGTATTTTTCTGGAACTTTTTTGCTTTTTTGATGATCTAATGGATGTTGGTAATTTGATTTCTGCCTTTTCTAAATCCAGCTTGAACATCTGAAAGTTCACAGTTCACGTACTGTTGAAGTGTGGCTTGGAGAATTTTGAGCATTACTTTGCTAGTATGTGAGATGAGTGCAATTGTGCAGTAGGTTGAACATTCTTTGGCATTGCCTTTCTTTGGGATTGGAATGAAAACTGACCTTTTCCAATCCTGTGACCAGTGCTGAGTTTTCTAAATTTGCTGACATATTGAGTATCACTTTCACAGCATCATCTTTTAGGATTTGAAATAGTTCAACTGGAATTCCATCACCTCCACTAGCTTTCTTTGTGGTGATGTTTCCTAAGGCCCACTTGACTTCACATTCCAGGATGTCTGGCTCTAGGTGAATAATCACACCATCTTGATTATCTGGGTCGTGAAGATC